GGCGGCGGCGGCAGCAGGACCAGCATGCACCACCGAAACGACTCCCAGAGGCTGGGGAAAGCTGGCTGCCCGCCAGAGCCGTCGTTGCAAATGGCAAATACTAATTTCCTCTCCACCTTATCCCCTGAACACTGCAGACCTTTGGCGGGGGAATGCATGAACAAGCTCAAATGCGGCGCTGCTGAAGCAGAGATAATGAATCTCCCCGAGCGCGTGGGGACTTTTTCCGCTATCCCGGCTTTAGGGGGCATCTCATTACCTCCAGGGGTCATCGTCATGACAGCCCTTCACTCCCCCGCAGCAGCCTCAGCAGCCGTCACAGACAGTGCGTTTCAAATTGCCAATCTGGCAGACTGCCCGCAGAATCATTCCTCGTCCTCCTCGTCCTCCTCAGGGGGAGCTGGCGGAGCCAACCCGGCCAAGAAGAAGAGGAAAAGGTGTGGGGTCTGCGTGCCCTGCAAGAGGCTCATCAACTGTGGCGTCTGTAGCAGTTGCAGGAACCGCAAAACGGGACACCAGATCTGCAAATTTAGAAAATGTGAAGAGCTAAAGAAAAAACCTGGCACTTCGCTAGAGGTCAGAGGAGATGATTTCTTGTTTCCCAGTCTCCCCCCTTCCCTGCTCACTCCCCTTTCTTCTCCCCTTCAGGGCTTCTTGTCTAGCTTCAAGACGCAGTACCCCTTTTCTGAAGCTTCATTCCGGTTGTAAGCTAAGGTGGTAGGTGGATTGCGGAGGGCAAGGCCTCTCCGCCTCCCTCCCCAGCTGCACCTCACGTGGAACCACACTCCAGACGGGGAGGGGGCCCCTCCTTTTTCTCTCTGGGGGGAAAACAATGTAACTGGTTTGAAAAATTAGAAGTTTCACGTTCAGTATGGTCAAAATTGCCCCTTGGTGGTTTAAAAAGCCCCCCTCCTTCATTAAAAAAAAGAAAGAAAGAAAAAAAAAACACGCATCTCTGTCCAAAGGTTTGAACACGTCACATCCATCACATCCTATATACTTTTATTGGCTAAGAGACACATATTACTGGCCCAGTTATAAGAAGGCCATATGAATGGCCCTCACAGTTTGCTGTGAGGACACAGCTTGTGGCACACAAGCCTAAGTTCTCAGAAGAAAAACAAACAAAAAACCAATACAACAGTGCATAATTGAAGCTGGATTCAAAAGGAGGGATTTTCTACCCCTTCTAGAACAGCTTTTCTCCTCATCATGACAGAATGCTTCCGATTTTATTTCCTGCCATCTTGTGTTTTTTGAGAAAACAAAAATAGTGTGAAAAGCTGACCACCACCCTGCAAATATTAAGGAGACAGGACTTAGAATAAAGCGATACAATTAGTTAATTTCAGGGCAGGTGATGGTAATTTTGTTTAAACATTGTTGTATATAGTTACAGAAAGTAATGATTCTGAAAATTTGGTTACAAAAAAAATTCCTTTGGGCTCTGCATTTGACAAAGTAACCATTTTGTGGGTTGTCAAAATTGTTCTGCACACCAAGCACAGGTTTGGCTGGTACCCTATATGGTCAATAACAGTTTGTTTTTTCCTGTCTGACCCTAACAGACAATGTACAGATTATCACTACAGTAACTGTTAACTTAGGCTTTTAATTATGTTAAACGCAAAGGTTGACGTGTTTGGTGGAAATTTCTGTGGTATCCTGATCAAAACAAAAAAGAGAAAAATGGAAAATTACAGGTAAAATGGTTTTGGTGGTATATTAAGCAACAAATTACGGACAAGGAATTATATTTAGTCCCTTGGTATTAAAAATAAGAGTAGATGGTTAGATGTTCACATATATATGGTGGGTTCAGCATTGGGGAACATTCGATGAGCTGGATTGTAGGATGAGAGTGGTCCTCACAAGTTATCATCAGAGGTGTAAATTGTGAGCACAGCTTAGAGGAGTTTTCTCCAGGAAGGACTGGAAATTTGGGCTTTAAAAAGATGAGGCATAAGGGCTAAAGATCTTTGTTACACTGTTGGACGTAAGTAGAATACAGATTTTTTACTTTCATTAACACATACCAAAGCAAATAGCACTTTGGGTTTCTAAAATATCAGAATTTTATTGATACCAGTGTTGATTATAGTCAGCTCCATCAAAACACTGCAATGATTCCTCTTTATAAAATAACCTATCTCTGTTAAAAGTTTGACTTACTCCGGGGAAGTCTGTTACATGTCCTTTGGAACGCTATTTAAGCAAAGATAATAGCGACTGTAAAAATGCAGATCCAGGTATTGTCTTCAGCAGCAAAAATTAGCTTTTGGCTTTTTTCTCTGGACTGATTTATTGTAACTTCTTTAGGTCTCTAAGGTCCAGGGGAAATTAAAAGTTAGTACTCAAATTTTCTGTTAATGCACAGTGGATAAGGAGTACATGGCTTTTGTTTTTCCTCTTAAAATGTAGTACCTAGAATGATAGAATTGGTGACGCTATTAGTCCTCAACTTTAGTTAGACCCATGGCACTGCCTGTATCCTAATTTAGGATACATAATGCCTAAGACCACTACATTATTCTGATTTGTTTGATAAATAACTACTCTAGAGAAGCTCGATGTGAATATCAACAGGTTTTCAACATCAGTTTCTATGCTGATGAATTAGTCTAGACAGATTTCACACATACACACACACACCCTTTTTGGATAGTTTTCTGACAAACTTGCTGTGATATTTAAATTACTTAGGCATTTTGATGCAAAATCCCATAGTGTCACCTTTTCTTCCCATTTAAAATCCACATACACAAACGTTCTGTTGATCTTCGAAAGCTGGGGCAGGGGGGCGGGGCGGGGGCAAATGTCTCCCTTTGTGGAACCCTCTGAAGGTGTTCTCTTAACTGGTAGACTTCATTCTACCAGAAGTTCAAAGATATGATTATTAGTAGAAGGCTATTTGGCAGAAAGAAAGAAAATGAACGAGTTTTCAAAATTGGCTAAGATTCGGTTCAGGTCATTAAAGAGGCAATGACAGCATGACTGTTTTAAGCACATGTGTAACCACACAGTCAGGGTTGTAGGAAACCAGCTGGACGAATGTCAGAGTGACAGGGCTGACGTGAGTGAACTAAAGCTGGAACAGCGTTTGCAGGTTGGTGAAAAGTCCCCTTGCCGACCTGGCTTCCCTCTCTGATTTGGTTTCTCTTAAGTTATCATCATCTGAGGAGATGGTTTAGAGTTTGGCTGGACTCCCTGACTGAGGGCAGGGATTTGGGGATTCATTATGGATATTACCTGTGGATTTCAGGTATAAGTTCAGTAGCTAATATTTGTTGGCTTTAAATTATGGAAACCAGTTAATATCTGGATCATAATCATTAGTTACATCCTTACTTATCTTTTCTAACCTGTGTGCCCTTCTTCCCTTTGACTTCTCATCCCAAAGACTAGAGGCATAATCAGATTTTCAGGGTGAGTAAACTGAAATTAAGACAGACTCACGTGGATGTGTTGGGATGTTTGCCCACGTTTTTTTTAAAAGTCTCCGTTCTAGCATTCCTTCTAAAACTGCTTTAATTACTTCCAGATTTTTCCGATTAGTCTCACTTTAAGAGTATCTTAATGCCCTAGAAATATATGTATAAAATTACCTCTTAATAATATTTCACATGATAGTAATATAAATAAAACAAATTTAGTTTTTCTATGATATTATGCCTGCATATCTGCATATACCTCTGTGCATTTAGGAGCCCTGGTGGCGAAGTGGTTAGGAGCTCAGGCTGCTAACCCAAAGATTGGCAGTTCAAACCCTCCAGCCACTCCTTGGAAACCCTATGGGGGCAGTTCTACCCTGTCCTATAGGGTCGCTATGAGTCGGAATTGACTTGACAGCACCCAACAACTGTTCATTTGGTTAATTACTGTCTTAAAACATAATCATTAATTATTCAAAGCAGCTACTACAAATGTTGTATGCCCTTTGTGTGAACAAACTTATTTAAGAAAGTGTATCCTGAACGATCAATATTAAGTTCCCAGATATTTTAAGAAGCATGTGATCACATAGGAGATCCTTACGATAATACGTTACATAATAACACTTTGTTTCCTACAAAGGAAGTTGTTCAGTTTTTATGTTCACACCGTTTACATTTCTGATACTAAGATCTAATTTTTTAAAATATCCCAATCTGATATGGCTCAAGGGATAAAGTTGTCCCGTGGGCAACCCCAGCCTCTTAGTCCCTGAACATTGTTCAGGTGACATGATTGATCTCTGAGGGACAGCATTAGAGACCACACAGATCTGGTTTCTCTCCCATTAGTTGATTTATGGAATTACATTAGTAAGCAGTGCCTCAGGAGGTTCCCCTGCCCCCACTCTTGGCTTTCTTTGCTGCAAGTTACACACCACACCAAGGCTTTCGGTTAGCTGGAGGAGGGATTAGAAAGGGGCATGTTATAGGGAAAAAACGGAGAATCTGGAATGTCAGGGAAAAGGTTAGTTCCAGTCTCTGTTGAATTTTTCTTTTTCTTTCTTTTTGTAAAAAAATTATCTGCTGAATGTACAGACCAGCTATAATGTTTTTCACAAGTTAGATTTAGTTTCTAAGGGGTTTGGTGGAAAACATTTAGATATAGTCCCAAACTTACGACTTGATTTCGACAAGCGTATTGAGGAAGGAAGGAACATATTTAGTATATGTTAAGTTCTAAGAGCCCCAAACACGAATGGCCATTGTAAAATTCTGGACAAAGCACTCTTTGCAGTACGTGCAGGAAGATGGCACCTGCCTCTTAAAGAAATTCACTTGTAGTCCACACACATAAAAGAAGTGTTACTTAAATTCGCAGTCTGTATAGTTAAATAAGAAGCGCTGGAGGCGCAGTGGTTAGAGGGCTCAGCTGCAATCCGAAAGGTCAGTGGTTTGAACCCACCAGCTGCTCCGTGGGAGAAAGATGTGGCAGTCTGCTTCCAGAAAGATTTCATCCACTGCCATCAAGTCAATTTCGACTCATAGAGACTCCATTGGGTTTCCAAGGCTGTAAATCTCTAAGGAAGCAGACTGCCACATTTTTCTCTCGTGGAGCCAACTTTTCGGTTAGCAGGTGATCGCTTTAACCACTGTCCCACAGGGCTCCTTCTGTAAAGATTTTAAAAAACAAAAACAAAAAAAACACTGTTATCAAGTTGATTCCGGCTCACAGTGACCCTGTAGGACAGAGTAGAACTGCCCCATAGGGTTTCCAAGGAGAACCTGGTGGATTTGAACTATTGGCCTTTTGGTTAGCGGCCCTAGCTCTTAATCACTATGCCATCAGGGAAAGCAGATGGGGGTAGTTTTACTCTGCCCTACAGGGTTGCTATGAGTCAGAATCTACTCAGTGGTAATGGATTTGCTTTGGTGATTTTATGGTTAAATAATGAAATCAGTCAGTGATTGAACATGCCATAAGTTTTGAGGTTTGGCAGCTTTTAAAAAATATTTATAGATAATATAGAAATGTTTCATGCTTTAAACTGAAACATCCACCAATGTATCACTTTATGTCATAATTAAAAAATGAGTTTTTCATGTTCAGTTTCAGGAACCAAAATATGCCGTGTAAATAGATAC